CTCTCCTCGTGCTCGTCCCTCGTCCCCTGTTCCCTTCACTGGCCTTCGTACTGCCCTATTTCGTTCTAGTCCGCCTCGTTTGTCTCCTTCTGTACTTCCTTCTCCTCTTGAGTTGGCTCTCACTGCTTCCCTCTCTACTCCTGTCACGGACTACTACTGTACGTACCGTCCTGTTCTCTCTCGTGTTCTTGCCTCTCTTGTTACCGACCCACGTGTTTCTCTGTCCTCTGTCTCCGATCTTACTGCCACAGTCACTGAGTTTGCCTCTACTCGCTGCCTTGACTACGCCACCAGTCTTGTGGCTGCTCCTCCTACCAGCCCTCTGGCCGTCGGGGGTGAGTCTGCCCTTGGCTGTGACGCCCTAGAGGAAAGGCAGTTTGACCCGGAGTTCCTGGCAGCCGCTTCCCCTCATCTCTGTGCCATGCTGCTCGCCCCTGAGGGAGACCCCGACGCCCTTGACATACCTACTCCTCGCACTTACGCTGAGGCAGTGTCAGGGCCTTGGGCCTCTCAGTGGAGAGCTGTCATGGACTCAGATATGGCCTCCTACAGATCCACAGGTACCTAAGTCGACGAGGTTCCCCCCCCTGGGGCGAACGTAGTCGATGACATGTGGATCTTCAGGGTGAAGCGGCCACCTAGATCTCCACTGGTCTTCAAGGCGCGCTATGTGGCCAGAGGTTTTAGTCAGCGCGAGGGAGTTGAATTCTTTCATACCTTCGCGCCTACCCCGAAGTTGACCACTCTTCGGATGTTACTGCACGTAGCAGCACAGCGAGAATACGAGTTACACTCTCTTGACTTCTCCACTGCTTTCCTTCAGGGTAGCCTACACGAGGAGGTCTGGTTGCGCCGTCCTTCTGTCTTCACTGGCACTTTCCCTCCTGTGACCCAGTAGAGGTTGAGGAGACCGGTCTACGGTCTCCGTCAAGATCCTTGTGAGTGGCACGACACCCTTCGCTCTACCCTTTCTGACCTTGGTTTCCAGCCTTCTTCTGCCGACCCGTCGCTGTTCGTTCGTCGTGGCTCCATACCGTTCTTTGTACTGGTCTACATCGATGATCTGGTTTTCGCCACTACTGACAGGGTTGCTTTGGCTGACGTGAAGCGCGAACTGCAGAAAAGACACACGTGCACTGACCTTGGTGAGCTGCGCCATTACCTTAGCCTGCAGATCACCAGGGACAGAGCCGCTCGCACCATTACACTCTCACAGTCACACATGGTGTAGCAGGTCCTTCAGCGGTTCAAGCTTCAGCACTCTACTGTACATCGCACACCTCTTGCGGTTGACCACAGACTCACCGGACCCTTTCCTGACGAGCCGTTCGAGCCTCATGATCCTTACATAGAGCTTGTGGGCTGCCTCATGTACCCGATGACTTGTACTTGCCCGAACCTCGCCTTCCCTCTCAGCATCCTTGCTTGCTTTGTTGCGCCAAGGAGACACCGTCCAGTTCACTGGACAACTGCTGTGAGGGTGGCGAAGTACCTAGCGACGACATCACGCGTGGGGCTGGTTCTTGGAGGGAGACAGGACGTCGTGCTTACTGGTCACTGTGACTCTTCTTACGCTGACGACGCCGAGACGCACAGGTCTATTCAGGGGTATTGTTTCAGCCTGGGCTCTAGAGCTGTTTCGTGGAGGTCCACGCGTTCCTCCTCGGTCTCGACCTCTACTGCTGGGGCCGAGATCTACGGTGGAGCTATGGCTGTACAGGAGCTGCGTTGGCTGACGTTCTTGCTCACTGACCTTGGTGAGTGGCCGAGCTCTGCGCCGACCTTCTTCACTGGCAACAAGGCAACGATTCTCCTTTGTCGAGAGCCGCGACTGGAGAGCAGAGTGAAGCACGGTAAGCTTCTTCGTAGAGTCGCGCTGGTGCGAGTATATCTCCAGAAATTTCTCCTTTGTGTAGGGTCGCGGGACTCCGTGTACATCGAAGGTGCCGACGCCGGTGCTGCGCAGCATGCCCTGAAGATGTTGTGATGCAGGTCTGGGGAGGGGATTTTCCTCCGTGCCGAAGACGACGCGTGTGGCGGTTTCAAGCTCCATGTTGGACAGTCCTTCTTTAGGCGGTGCTTCCCGCTTTGCTTCGGCGATGGTGGCAAGACCATGGCCGGCAATCGCGCTCGTTGAGGCTGTGGGCGTATGGCAATCTCTGCAGATGCCATCGGGGCCGGGGTCGTGGAGCGCCACCTCGTGCGGGTGAGCGTGATGTGGCACCCACGGTCTTCCGTCTGGATGTTTCCAGTCGCAGTGGTGAATGTGTTCGAAGCGCATGGGGATGAGGTCGATGAGCTCCTGTGAATCACCGCTGCAGTCGGGAATATTGAAGTCGAGGATGTAAACGCCGTTTTCGGAGTGCGCTCGTCCGATCTGCTTGCGCGTCTTGTTCGGCATCGTATAGTGGAGCAGGATGTCACGTGTCTCGGGTTCGGTGCTGAGGTCGACTCCGCAATCCACGAGTTGCGCCGCTAAGAGGAGATTAAAGCGCAAATTCTGCACGATAAGCATGTCGTTCAGTGTGATGTGCATCCTGCTCCCTCGGGCCTTGAGCACCACGATTCCTTGCGCGCTTGCGCGCAGACGCGTGTTGTTCGCCACGGTGACATAGGTCACGGCAAGGGTGGAGACGGCGTTGGATATGTAACGCTCATAACCCACCATATGCTGCCCACAGCAGCTATCCAGGTACCACGTGTTGTAGCGCCTGTTGTCGTTACGTGCGAGCAGCGCCAGTCGCGGGGTAACGATATGCGGTGTGTCAAATTTGAGAAATTGCTCGCGCGAGATCCAATCGATCGGAGCCGCCCGCTGATCAGGTATGTGCGGGGGACTTTCAAGCAGCGGGACTGGGAGATTCCAGTCCTGTTCGTCGTCATCGGTGAAATCATGGCGTGTGCTGAACGGATTGTTGTTCGAGAACGCTCCGATTGGCTGGCATGCTGGCTCAGGTGACGGTGAGTGTGTGCGGGGACGACGGATCCGCTCGTCATTGTCATGTTGCACTTGACATTGCGGACTGGGACAGTCTGTGGTGATTGGTGCTGCTCATGCTGAACGGCTGGGTTCATGTTGCGCGGTGGGGGTTGGTGCCCCTGGGCTTGACGTGTGTCGTTTCGTGCGTCTTGTCGGCTAGACCAGTTTCTCGGGTTGGTCTGACGAGGGCGCGATCGGAATTTGCATCGATCTGCCAGGTGCCCGAAATTTCTGCAAATCTTGATGTAAAGGCGCCGCGGCTGTCGCTCCTCCGTGTTGTCGGCGTAGAAAGCGAGGTGTTCCCGGTCTCGTCGCGGCGCTGGTTGCTGCTGATCCATATCCCTTTGTTCGACGAGAAGGGCGGCGCATAGGGCGGCCTCCGATATGACCCCCTGCTGTCGGAGAAGCACCTTGCAGGGCCGCCACTCTGGTCCGAGCCCTTGAAGCACGATGTTCACGAAAATCTCCTCTGAGATCGTGCTTCCCAATTTTGCGATTTGATCGCGTAAGCCCCGACAGCGGTTGATGTAGCTGTTGACCTTCTCCCATAAGGCCATCTTAGTCTCCAGTAGCTGCTGGAGCAGGAGGCTCGATGAAACCGAATCTTTCGGTTGGTACACGCCGTTTAGATGGCGCCAAGCATCGAGGGCTGGAGCAGGAGTCGTCTTGTACGAGCGAATGCTCAACTGCTCCGCCGGCGACATATTCCGCAGGAGGACGCCGTACGCCATCAACGACTCGTTGTAGTACTGCGCCCGGGCGTCAACACTGTCCTCAGCGGGTCCCGAGTAGCTCCCGTCGAAGTAATGAAATATCAGCGCGTTTTGCAGCAGTATTTCCAGCTCGATGCTCCACGTATAGAAGTCTCTGCCGTCAAAACACACACTTGTTTTTATTTTAGATATGCTCAAAAACCTTGATTGCGCAGAGAGAATTGATTCTTCGCTGGGACGGGTAGTCTTGGGTGTTGAGCCATTTGTGTCGAGGGAGAAGGTGTACGGGGCGGTATTGTGGCCGTTCGAGGCCGGTTGAGTGGGTTGGGAAGATGTTCCCACGTCGCCATTCCGCAATGTTTGGAGTTGTTGCTCCAGGCTGGTGAGTCGCTGAAGCATCTGTGCGAGGGCGGCGGTTCCAATCGTCGTCGCTTCCTCGCTTGTCGTAGTCGGGTTGGTCTGCGCTTCAGCAGTCAGATTCATCTGACCACCAGATCCTCCGGCCATTCTCACGCACGAGCGTGTGCCGGACGCCACTTTCCGTTCGCCGAAGATTTCGGAGGTGACAGTGCGAACGATTCCCGAGTCGCTCTCATACCATGTTGCGATCAGATGTTGATCGTACCTAGTATCACCTCAGGAAGGTTCACACACGTCTGAGTAGTGGTGGGCCCTTGACCTCAATAGCAGAGTGGATGTAAAATGCTTGAGATGATAATAACATGCGAATACAGGAATAAAAATAGGAGTTCAAGGGAATTCGAATCGACCTAGGCTAGCCATGTACTCTAAGGGGTACATTCCCTTATTGCAGCGAAACCCAACCGTGCGACTCCAGAGGTTACAAACTGTCTGGGCAGAATCCTCGTCACTGCTACTGCCTGATGCTGTTTGCCCGACGGTCCAGATCCCTTCGCAACCGCACGACCCTTCGCGTCACTTCCACCTCTTCATCTTCAGCCTCGGTAGAGTGTGCTGCGGTAAGGAGTGCACAGTAATGCTTCATCTTTTACTATTTGTAACAAAAGGGAACAGGAAATCCCCCTTAACAACCTGACTGGGTAGAAAGAGTGTTTGTTTACCCTAAAGAACATATTCGCTAAGCACTGTCCAACTTGTATCGCGTATCCTTTCCAACACGAAGGGGCCACAACCACACTTTGCAGGAACTCAACACAACCTCAGCTCTCCCATCATTCCCACCATAACTCTCGCTATTCCATTTCTCCGCCACCACGTCCAGCCGCCCTTCCCATCCACCCTTCCGTTCGCTTCCTTTTCGGCAACCTTCGCGGAATTCACACAGCATGGGAGGAGGCGGCGGTGCTCCTGGCGGTTACCCTAACGTCTGGGCGTTAACCGGCGGGTGGTACTGCGACCCGAAATACTGGCGTCGTAACACCGCCTTCGCCTTGGCCGGCATCTTTGCCGTTTGCGTTCCGATCGCCCTGACGTCAGCACGGCTTGAGGTCAGTCGGTCGCTATCGTAAATGGATGGATCCGTTTGTTTAGTTTCGCTGCGACACGCGCAACACGTGCGACGCGTGCAACACGCGCGACAGGTGCGACGCGTGCGACACGTGCGACTAGATCAGATTGCTTATGTCGTAAGCTTGAGTAAGCCTACTGTCGTAACCAAGGAATGAGAAGTTTTTTTGGGAAAGCGTTGTAGGGAGGCGTCAAGTGTTTCGACGCGACGTTACGAAATGGCTCGTAACTTTGTATTCACGAGGTGGTAATATCGAGACGTGGTCGTACGCACGCACGGTAGTTGATCTTGGTGAGCGACGGTTAAGCAGTGCCCCACCAGAGAGCGACGGTTAGCAGTGTCCCACCAGAGAGCGACGGTTAGCAGTGTCCCACCAGAGAGCGACGGTTAGCAGTGTCCCACCAGCGAGTGGCGGCCTGATGCTAGTGCTCGGATATACCCGTGCTTTAGGCTTCATGTGGCTTCATCCCGCCATGTATTTTTCAAGCATACTGGCTGTCTCTTTGTGATAAGAGTTTGAAAAAGATGTAAAAATACTCGGGCAAGGTGAGCTCGATTCTCGTGCTCGCATATATCAGTGCTGAAGCCTTGAAGTGCCTAAATCTTCTAGTATGTTTTCAAACATACTGAACATATAATTTACGCTTTAATGAATGTGATATCAGAGGATTTCTTTTATGGTTTGTAGGTGCGGGTTTCTAGACCTTTTAATTCCCCACTTCCGTCCCTATTTCCTCCCTTCCCACCTGCATCTCTTCTTCCCTCACTCCCTCACTCCATTCCCTCAAATTCCCTTCATGTGCTTTCCTTTCCCACTCTCCCTCTGCCCCTCCTTGCTAGTCTCCCCAAATTCCCCAATCCCCCGATACCCTAATTCAATGCCGTGCATCTCAGAATAAACCGTTTGCTTTGTGCTTCCATGTCTGCCTTTATAGCCCCCTTGATCTTCTTCCCAATACCTGTGTCGTCATGTGTCTCACCCCCTCACGGCGATCTCCAACCGACCCCAATTGTTCCCAACCATCTCTAACCACGTGATGCATGTTTCAGCAACGGCCGAGTGCCCCGAGCCGCGCCATTCCCTCCCAGATGTGGTGCTCCAACTTCCCAACTGAATCAAATCAAGCGTCAGAGGAGTGAGATCTTAGGAGCAACAAAAACCAAGCATTGTGGTCACGGCTCCAAACAGCAGCGGAATTGTAGGATAAGCACACAACACAATGCACTTAATGTGCTTTTAAAGATACAGATAGCCCTGGGGTGTGTCAACACAAATTGTTTGTCGGATGTCATGACAGAATGTGTATATGGCGTCTTGGAGTACAATTCTAATATATTTTGCATGGCAGTTCAGACAAATGATATGTTTTTGCTTTGAAATGTTGGTATCGGTGTAGTGGGGTACGGTGATCGGGTGTAAATGGTGAAACACACCAACACTACCTTGTTTGCAGGTGTCCCTTAAGGTCGTAGTTGTTCCAGCCCTAAAAATCTGGATTACTTTTGAAACAACCCGGCACGTCCTACCTGGATGATTCTGTGTGACCCTCTTTGTGTACGTGTTGTCAAACTGTTATGGTGATTACATTGTGTAGGCTGTAGTGGGGTAGCCCATAAAGGGTTAGTACTTGTACCCAACTTTCTGTTCAATCCATTCATTCTCGTTCTGTATTCTGACATGGTTTCAGAGCAGGTCCTGTTCTAGGACCGAATTTTTTTAGGGCCCACCACAGAGCGCTGCCCCACTAGCTGCCCTGCCGCCCTGCCCCAACTGTCGCGCCGCCCTGCTGGCCGCTGTGCCGCCCTTAGCAGCCCGTGCGCCGCCCTTTGCAGCCCGTCGCGCCGCCCTTTGCAGCCCGTCGCGCCGCCCTTTGCAGCCCGCGCGCCGCCTTTAGCAGCCGGCGAGCCGCCCCTGCAGCCTGCGAGCCGCCCCTGCAGCCCGCGAGCCGCCCCTACAGCCCGCGCGCCGCCTTTCGCAGCCCGCGCGCCGCCCCATGCAGCTCGCTCGCCGCCCCTGCAGCCCGCGCGCCGCCTTTCGCAGCCCGCACGCCGCCCCTGCAGCCCGCTCGCCGCCCCTGCAGCCCGCTCGCCGCCCGTTTGCGGCCCGCTCGCCGCCCCTTGCAGCCCGCGCGCCGCCCTCTGGCAGCCCGCTCGCCGCCCTTTTGCATCCCGCTCGCAGCCCCTTGCACCCCGCGCGCCGCCCTTTGCACCCGTGCGCCACCCTGCTGCCCTGCTTGCGCCGCCAGGCTGCCCTGCTTGCGCTACCCGGCTGCCCTGCTTGCGCTGCCCTGCTTGCGCCGCCCTGCCCGGGCCGCCCTGCTGCTGCCCGCCCTGCCTGCGTACTGCTCTGCTGGTAGCGCGCCACCCTGCTCTGCCCGCTATGGCTTCTCTCATTGTACTCACCTTCGATCATGAGGGCCGTCCGATCCAGTTCGATACGTGGCTCGACGACTTACAGCTATACCTACTGAACGATTCTAGAGACAGCGTTTCGTTGTTTGACCACAAGTCTGGAGCCTCTCTCGCCCCTCCCGCCACAGCTGACAGTGCGACTCGCTCACAGTGGCTTACTCATGACGCTGCTGCTTGCTTAGCCGTTCGCAACCACCTGCCGTTAGCCGAACGCGCTCACTTTGGCCAGCACAAGACTGCTAAAGCCCAGTACGACGCTGTAGTCGCTCGTTACTCTTCCCCTGCCACTGCTGCTCTAGGCCGCCTTATACTCCCCTACCTGTTTCCCGAGTTGTCCGCCTTTGCCACAGTCGAGGTGTCAAACTTATATATAGCTTACATTGTGTAGGCTGTAGTGGGGTAGCCCATAAGGGGTACAACCAAATTAGGGTTAGTACTTGTACCCAACTCTTTCATAGTTCATTCATTCTTGTTCGTAACTTTGACATGGTTTCAGAGCAGGTCCCTTCCTAGGACCGTTTTTTGGGCCCACCACCTGCTGCCCTGCTAGCCTAGCCTCGCGCCCGTCGCCCCTAGGCCTCGGCCCGTCGCCATCCCTAGCCCGGCCCGTCGCCCCTTGGCGTCGCCCCTAGCCCGGCCCCTCGGTCGCCCTAGGCCCGTCGCGACCCCTCGGTCGCCCTAGGCCCGTCGCGACCCAAGTCGCCCTAGGCCCGTCGCGACCCCCGTCGCCCTAGGCCCGTCGCGACCCTCGTCGCCAGTCGCCCCTCGTGGCCCCGTCGACCTAGGCCCCCGGCCCTCGCCCCGTGGCCCCTCGGCCCTCGCCCCTCGACCCCGTAGCCCCTGGCCCCGCGGCCTCGTTGCCCCTAGGCCCCGTCGACCTAAGCCCCCAGCCCCGTCGCCCCTGGCCCCGCGGCCCCGTCAACCTAGTCCTCGCGGCCCCGTCGACCTAGGCCCCTGGCCCCCCGCGGCCCCGTCAACCTAGGCCCCCGGCCCCGTTGCCCCTGGCCCCGCGGCCCCGTCGACCTCGACCCCGCGGCCCCGTCGACCTAGGCCCCCGGCCCCCGCGGCCCCGTCGACCTAGGCCCCCGGCCCCTCGGCCCCGTCGCCCCTGGCCCCGCGGCCCCAACGCCCCTAGGCCCCAGGCCCCTCGGCCCCGTTTCCCCTGGCCCCGCGGCCCCGTCGACCTAGGCCCCCGGCCCCTCGGCCCTGTCGCCCCTGGCCCCGCGGCCCCGTCGCCCCTAGGCCCCCGGCCCCCCTTGGCCCCTACTATCCTGGCCCCGCGGCCCCGTCGACCTAGGCCCCCGGCCCCTCGGCCCCGTTGCCCCTGGCCCCACGGCCCCAACGCCCCGCGGCCCCTAGGCCTCAGGCCACCCCCTCGGCCCCTTGGCCCCTCGGCCCTTATGCCCCTTCGTGTTTGGCCCCTCGGCCCCTCGCCCCCCCCCCCCCTTCGTGTTTGGCCCCTCGGCCCCTAGGCCCCAGGCCCCTCGGCCCCTTGGCCCCTCGGCCCCTCGCCCCCCCCCTTAGTGTTTGACCCCTCGGCCCCTAGACCCCAGGCCCCTCGGCCCCTAGCCTCGGCCCCTCGGCCCCCCTTCGTGGTTGGCCCCTCGGCCCCTAGGCCCCTCGACCCCTCTGCCCCTCTGCCCCTCGGCCCCTTGGCCTCTAGGCCCCAGGCCCCTCGGCCCCTTGGCCCCTCGGCCCCTCACCCCCCCCCCCCCCCCCCCCCCCCCCCCTTCGTGTTTTGCCCCTAGGCCCCTCGACCCCTTGGCCTCTCTGCCCCTGCTACTGCTGTTGCTGCTACTGCTGCTACTGCGTGCTGCGCCACTATGGCTTCGCTTCGAGTTCTCGCGTTCGATCATGAGGGTAGACCGGTTCAGTTTGACACGTGGCTCGACGACCTGCAGCTGTACCTACTGAGCGATTCTAAGGACAGTGTGTCGCTGTTTGACCTCGCGTCAGGTGCCGCTACTGCCCCTCCCGCCACAGCTTACAGTGCGACTCGCTCACAGTGGCTTACGCGCGTCGCTGCTGCACGCTTAGCCATTCGCAACCACCTGCCGCTAGCCGAATGTGCTCACTTTGGACAGCACAGGCCCTGTACGACGCTGTAGTCACTCGCTACTCCTCGCCTGCCACTGCTGCGCTAGGCCGACTGCTACTGCTCTACCTGTTCCCCGAGCTGTCCGCATTTGCTACAGTAGAGGACCTCGTTTCCCACCTGCGCACTAGCGACGCTCGTTATCGAGCTACCGTCCCTGCTAAGTTCCTTGAGAGGAACCAGCCCCCGATGTTCATCACCCTCTACTTCATAGTCACTCGCCTCCCTGACTCTCTTTGCTCTGTCAGGGACCACTTTCTCTCCCTTGACCCCACCTACCTCACTGTTGACCTCCTCGAGCAGCATCTCCTCGCAGCTGAGACTAGTGCAGTTGCTGTAGGTGCTGCTCGTGGCACTCCGCGCCCGCACCCCTTGCCCCCTCCTACGCCTCTGCTGCTGCTGCAGACGTCTCTGTTGCTGAGGACGTCGGGGCTGCTTCTGCTAGTGTGAAGCGCCGCAGCAGCAAGGGCAAGGGTGGCAGGGGTGGTGGAGGTGGAAGCGGTGGTGGTGGAGGAGGCAGCGGGAGTGGTGGTGGGGGCAACAGTGGAGGTAGTGGAGGCAGTGGGGGTGATGGCGGCGGTGGGACTGGTGGCGGGAGTGGGTGCTCTGGTGGCGGCGGTGGAGGCAGCGGTGGGAGTGGCGGCAGTGGAGGCGGTGGGCCTAGAGGCAGTAGGACTGGACCTCGGCATGGAGGCCCTGGTGGTGGCCAGCGGCAGTAGAAGCAGCGTCGGAGCGAGACCCAGTTGCCCCAGCAGCTCCATGAGTGGTTGTTTCAGCGTGGGACGTCTGGGGGTAGTGTTAGCTGCCCGTATGTCATTCGCACGGGTGTTCGTGCTGGTCAGACATGCAGGAAGCTTCACACTCAGCACCGCTGCTTCTCTCGCCTCGACGACGCTTGGCGTGCTGAGTTTGGTGACGACGTCGAGCTCCCTCGCTTGGCAGATCTACTTAGGTCTAGGATTGCTATCTTTGACCTAGACTTTGATGCTATTCTTTTTGCTATGTATGCTTTGTGTGTTCGTGCTGAGGGTGACTGTTACCGGTGTGTGCCACCTGACCCAGGTATAGCTGCTGCTACTCTAGGTGCTCGTAAATCTGGTACTCTCCCTGGTACTGCGTATGCTCAGGCCTTGCACACCTTCACGTTGGACTCGGGCGCCTCGCGCTGTTTCTTTCGTGACAGCACCACTCTCACTCCACTCCCTGCACCTGTCCCGGTCAGACTGGCTGACCCCTCTGGGGGCCCGGTCGTTGCCCCTTCCTCCACTGTCCTCCCGTGTCCGGCGGTTTCGTCCGACTCACTGTCAGGTCTTCACCTCCCCTCGTTCTCTACGAACTTGGTGAGTACTGCTGCCCTCTAGGATGCGATGGTCACTACCACCACTCCTGGGGGTCAGCGTGTGTCGATCTGCACGTGCACACAGACGGGGCGTCACCTGGCTACGTTCACTCGTCGACCAGGGTCGAGTCTGTACACACTGGCTACCGAGCCTCTTCAGGTAGCTGCGTCTGCTCAGGTGTCCATGTCAGGTCAGGTGGCCGCCTCTTGCTCGTGTCGCCTCCTGTCGCACCAGACTCTTCTGTGGAACCACAACCTGGGTCACCCCTCCTTGGCACGCCTTCGTGGCATGCA